AACAATAGACTAATTGTTACAATGATGATTATTATGAAATAACAGTTATATAAAAGTAGTAGTGTCAATATTGTTTTTATTAGCATCAATTTTATCAATTTTTATACTTGAATTGAATACGGTCAGAATAGGAGGCGCAGGACACGGGAAACCCCGCCGCCGCCGGCCGTCCGCCGGTCCCGCGACAGCCTCCCGGGACGACAGCGGCAGCGCCGGCCGCCTTCCGTTTTTGTCGCCGCCGCCGTCTGTCCAGGCAATCATGAGGCCATTAGGAGGTGACGCTTCCCCCGTCGGGAGACAGCCTTGGCTCGGGCGGCCGCCGATTCCTTGTTTGAGCTTTGGAGGATCAACAAAAAATGGCTTTGTTTACGAGCAGATAATTGGGTTCTTGAATGGCTGCCGCTCTCCCTCGCCTCCTCTCGCGCTTCTTTAGGCCGCCCACGCCGGGCGGTGCCGAGGGGACAGCTGTAGGCGTTAATGATCTGCGTTACATTAAAAATGAAAGGACTGAAGGTGGGACGGCGGCGGCCGAGTCACTGGCGAGGTCGGCCGTCGGCTGCTGAGGCTCCTCCCGTCCTCGCACCTTCGCCAGCGCTGTCACCCCTTCGTCCGCCCTTTATCATCTCCCTTGGCTCCTTCCTTCTTCCGTATCCTCTGCCAGCCACTTGCACCTCGCCATCGCCGCTTTGACTCCTTTTTGTCGCCCTCCAGCAGCACTTCCGGCAATTATGTCCTCACAAAGAAGGAGACTCGACGGCGGACGAACGGAATTGCGCGAAGGTGGCGTGCGTGCGGCGGGGCAGGAGGGGGGGGGGGGGCTCGATGGCCTACCACCCCCGTGACGCCCGAGATTAGCCTTGGCGAAGCGGGGCTGCTAATCGCCCTTTGTCCTCGCGTGGGCGGCGGCGACACCATTACTGCCTCCAGCCGCTCGTACCTTTCCTGTCTCCTGATCCTCTTTCTCCGCGTGTTATTTCTCTCGTAGATTCTTCCTTTGCCCTTTTCCACGCTCTCTTGTTTTGCTCTTTCTTCTCAGTCGCCGCCCGTATCAACTACATCCTGGAATTGGAGTGCATTTAGGCATATAATTACGTGAATTATATATATATATATATATATATATATATATATATATATATATATATATATATACATACATGCATTTGTGTGTGTGTGTGTGTGTGTGTGTGTGTGTGTGTGTGTGTGCGTGTGTGCGTGTGTGTGCGGGCGTGTGTGCGGGCGTGCGTGCGTGTGCATACGTGTGCGCGTGCGCGTGCGTGTGTTCATATGTCCGTACGTGTATAGGTGTGCATTTTTAATTCTAAAAGCAGCCGTCGGGCCACAGCCATCGACGCCGTGCGCGCCCGGCAGCCCTTGCGAATTGAAAAAAATTGGCGGCACTTTGTCAGGCGTCTCGCTTTTGTCTCGCGCCCCGGGAGTCCATGGATTTTATATCTATCATTTCATATCGCCTCCTCTATCTTTTCCTCGCCCCCTCCTCCTCTCCCCTTCCATCGACCTCCCCCTCCTTTCCCCTTCCTTCAACCCCCTCTTTTTCCCTTTCCACACCCTCTTCTCCCCTTGCCTCGCCCTCTCTCCTCATCCCTTGCCCCCTTTTCCCCTCCCCTTTCATCAACCCCCCTCCCTCCTGTCCTCTTCCCCTCACTCGACCCCTTCTGTCTCTTTCCCTCGATTCCCCTCCCTCGCCCCCTTCTCTCCCCTTGTTTCAGAGCCCCTCCGTTCCCCTCCCACGCCTCAGCGCCCCTAGATTCCCCTCCCTCGGCCCTTCTCTCCCCTTACCTCACCGCCCCTAGATTCCCCTCCCTCTCGCCTTCTCTCCCCTTGCCTCGGCGCCCCTCCGTTCCCCTCTCCGACTCCGGCCTCACCTGTGCCTTGCTTGCAGGACCACTCGGCTGGCTGCCATTTTCGGTGTGTCCTTCTCCCTTTCTCTTTGCCCACCTGTTCGTTATTCCCCGCATTCATCCCCGCGGCCATAAATATTTCGGGAAACTCTTTTCGTCTTCTGTTTCCTATTTTCTTTATCCCTTTCTTTCTTTGTTACATTTCTTTTATTCCGTCATGTTCCCAGCCCGAAGGGAAAAAAGAGGCAGTAGGAATGAAGAAAGGAAGAGACAGAGAAAATAAACCGAGAGAAGGAAGGAGGGAGAGAAAGAGAGTAAACCAAATGGAAGGCAGAACAACATATTTTCAGAGAATTAGAAAGTGACAGACAGAACTTAAGGGATAAACGTTAAAGGTTACAGTAAAAGACAAGTTTAAATATTAACGCTTGCCTGAGACACGACCGGTTTAATGAGTTTAGAGAGTTGAGGTTATTCTTTACACGGCTTGTCCTTCGGGTCCGCGGCTACTGAACGTAAGCTAGAGTGTATATATATATATATATATATATATATATATATATATATATATATATATATATATATATATATATATATATATACATACATACATGCATACATACATATGTATATAATATGTGTACATATATATATATATATATATATATATATATATATATATATATATATATATATATATATATATATATATATATGTATATATATATATATATATATGTATATATATATATATATATATATATATATATATATATATATATATATATATATATATGTACATACATACATAGATATATATATAATATGTGTACATATATATATATATATATATATATATATATATGTATGTATGTTTGTATATATGTATATATGTACACGTGTGTGCACGCGCGTTTGGTGTGTGTATATTTATATGTATATGTATGTATATATATATATATATATATATATATATATATATATATATGTGTGTGTGTGTGTGTGTGTGTGTGTATGTATATATATATACATACATACATATACACACATATGTCTATGATAGGGAGAGACCCTATCGCTGTAAGGCAGAGCGCAGCGATCCCGCTGGATGTCACCGCGCCGGGCCATTTACGGAGGCTCCATTAACAACACCTATTAGCATCCTCATATGAAGAGAGAGAAGGAATAGGGGAGGGGACGGGGAGGGGAAGGGCTAGAAAAACAGGAGACAGGGAGTGGGAAAATGGGGGCGGGGCGGGGGTAGGGGGGGGCAGAAATAATAGTCCTTTGATTTATGTGACCTTAGATTAGCCTTCTCAGATGACCCCTCGTGACCTCGGCCAGGGCGGCTGTTGTTTGATTGTAGACATTTGAGGGGTTGTTGACATAAGTGTTAACAGGTTTAATGACTTTTTCTTTCATTCTTAGAGTTAAAGAAGGTGATGGGGGGGGGGGGGGGGGGGATTACCTGAGGCTGGTAATAGGATCAGTAAGACTGAATGTAAATCACATGGAAAGCGCGAAGTTCTGACAATGACGGTGGTTAATGTCGATAACGATATAGCTACTATTACTATTAATGATAGTTGGCTGTAATGATGATAAGGGTAATAGGAATAGTGATAAGGATAATATTAATGACAAGAATGTGATAATAAGTGATAATAATAGTAGTATTAATTATAATATTGATAACAACAGCAACAGTAATAAAACTAATGGTAACAATAGTATCAATGATGAAAATAATAATGATAGTGATAATGATGATCAGGCAAACAACAATAATAATAATAAAATTGTTAACAAGAATATGAATACCCGGTAAGTTATTATAAGAGGAAACGTGAACAATAAGCAACCAAAATTGATGTGTGTCATTGAAAACCAAATTATGCCTGTGATTTCTCATACCAAAACGGCAGAGGAAACAATGGATTGCTGTGCGTTAATTATCTGAATAAAGAAGCAATGCAGGGATGATTGAAGAATATACTATACGTTAGATCGAGAATGTTTTGTAATGTTAGAACATGTAATTTAAAACTAAGCTTAAGAGAGGGAAATTGAGAAGATGGAGAAGAAGAAGAAGAAGAAATAAACTAGGAAGAAGAGAAAGAAGAACAATAGCAAAAAATGGCATTGGGATCGAGGTTAACATAGAAAATGAAGTAATTGAAATCGACAGAGGATATGAATAATAACAACAACAACGAACATAATACAAACAAATTAGTTCAAAAGAAATAAGGCTTTATAGTCCTTCAGAATAAACTGTAACGGCTGGAGTGAAAGAGGAATGGCACCAAAGAAAGGTTAAACAAAGGTCACAATAGCTGGTCAAGAACGCAGGACAAATTAGCAGAAATGGGACACAGAAATGGCCAGCGCAATGGAGAGACCCCCTCGACCACCCCCTTGAGATTGGCACATTGTTACTTGACAATGGAACTGCGGGCGACAGTGTGGACGGCGAGGGGGGAGGGAGGAGGGAGGGAGGGAGGGATGGTTGGGAAAGGTCTCTTCTGGGTTTCATTATCAGCTGATGTTTACTTTTCCTTTGTTCTTTCAACCCATTGGGGTTTCTTTGCTGAGAGAGAGAGAGAGAGAGAGAGAGAGAGAGAGAGAGAGAGAGAGAGAGAGAGAGAGAGAGAGAGAGAGAGAGAGAGAGAGAGAGAGAGAGAGAGATGAAATGTGCTCCAAAGTTTTCTCGCTCTACAAAGTGGTCATTTTACGAAACCAAGCTTCAAAATCTGCCGGACTTTGGCCCGGAAGCAGGTCGCGGGCGCGGGCGAGGGCCCTCGGCTGCAGCCATCCTCTGCTCATTCCGGCCAGCTGATCGCAGGATTCCGAACGAAAAATGCACTCTTTGGAAGCACGACCGGACAGGACGGACAGTTAGATCGTAATTTTATGATTATTGTGAATAATTTTTGTTAATTATTTAGTATTTTATATAAAATGTTCCAGAATAGCCTCCTCGAGGTGCGTGAACACACTTGTGCCCATTTGATACTTGTCATATGAATATCCTTCAGAATCAGTTTGGTATGGGCGGCATTTATTCCTAAATCTCTACCCCACCCACAAAATGACGCCCCAAGTGCCCCATCATGAAAGCGCCGTCTTTTCTTTCAGCCTCCGAGCGTGATTCCACAGCAGGCAAAG